GTGCCCCCCTGGGCAGCCATGCCCTGTGCCCCCCTGGGCAGCCATGCCCCGTGCTGCTCCCCTGGGCATGAACACCTTGTGCCCCGTGTCCCCTAGGCAGCCATGCCCCGTGCCCCCCTGGGCAGCCATGCCCTGTGCCCCCCTGGGCAGCCATGCCCCCCTGGGCAGCCATGCCCCGTGCCCCCTGGGCAGCCATGCCCCGTGCCCCCTGGGCAGCCATGCCCCGTGCCCCCTGGGCAGCCATGCCCCGTGCCCCCTGGGCAGCCATGCCCCGTGCCCCCTGGGCAGCCATGCCCCGTGCCCCCTGGGCAGCCATGCCCCGTGCCCCCTGGGCAGGCCATGCCCCATGCCCTGTGAGCAGCCATGCCCCATGCCCTGTGAGCAGCCATGCCCTTTGCCCCCCTGGGCAGCCATGCCCTGTGCCCCATGGGCAGCCATGCCCTGTGCCCCCACGGGCAGCCATGCCCCCCTGGGCAGCCATGCCCCGTGCCCCCTGGGCAGCCATGCCCTCTGTTCTGCTCAGCTTTACCCACTCAAGGGAAACGTTGTTGGGATCCAGGTCCTTCCCCGTGCCTTGGTGAACAACCTTCATGGAGAGGGAGAGCTTCAGTTTGTCATCCTTCATCTGCAAACCACACAATTAGCAGGATGAATGATGGGCAGCCATGCCCTCTGTTCTGCTCAGCTTTACCCACTCAAGGGAAACGTTGTTGGGATCCAGGTCCTTCCCCGTGCCTTGGTGAACAACCTTCATGGAGAGGGAGAGCTTCAGTTTGTCATCCTTCATCTGCAAACCACACAATTAGCAGGATGAATGACCTGACAATGCTAATGAACACCCAGGGCATTTGACTTTAATTAGGGTTACCTCTCTCCCGATGAGCTTGACCCAGACCTTGTCGCCCACGTCGAGCATCTCTGCGGGTTTGTCCACGGGGCAGGAGGACATGTGAGTCCTGTGCACGAGGCCTGCAGGGAGGGGGAGAGGGGACAAGAACAGCTCCAGGTGTGCTGTCA